ATTTCTATGAACAAGCCAAATAAAAGGGATAACCTTAAATATCTAGAAATACTGTACTCATTTCTTGGTATAATGTTGATAAATTTTTTTTTTAATGTTGATAAATTCTAATGCATCCAGCGAATGATTACCAGAATGGAAAAGACACTTGAAATCACATTATAAGAGGAATGACAGAAGAATCTGGGGCTATTTAGCCTAAAGGGAATATTTAGGTATGGTTTGAGTAATCATTACAAATAGTTGGAAGGTTATCGTGTAGAAGAGGGAAATGTAGATAAGGGCAGGGGGCACCATTTAATATTTCTTGAACCCTTGCTAAATAACTACATCTTGCACTGTGCTAGACATTTTATATTTGTTGTTCCACTTATTTACTGTAACCTTACATGGTACGGGTTTTTTTTTTTAATAGTGAAACCGAGGCTGGAAAAGGTAATTAGCCTAAGATCAGTGAGCCAGGAAGTGTCCAAAGATTCAAATGCTTGTCTGACTTCAAAGTCCATTTTGGATACAAAACCACAGAGAGACAGATTTGGGTGCATATTATGAAGAATTTTCTAGAAGTATAGTGGATTGTCTCATGAGTAGTATGTTTCTTGTCATTGGAGGTGTGTAAGGAGAAGCTGGATAATCACTTGGCAGTGGTTCTGTGTCTGGTGTTGGGGTATGAATTATTGAATTTGAGGTTGGTCTTTTTTAATCCTGTAATTATAAGAGGGCCGAAGAAGGCTGTTCATTTGCTCTTGAGCATGTGTTGTGCTATTAAGCATGTGTTGTGCATGGAGATGTCGGGAAAACAAAAAAGCCTAATAAGGACATTGTGCCTGGCCTTTACTGGTTTACAGTTGTTGCTTTATTATGTGAAGAGACATTAATGGGCCCTTTTTTTTCTTTTTATTAACATATAATGCATTATTTCAGGGGTACATGTCTCTGATTCATCAGTCTTAAACAATTCACATGCTCACCATAGCACATACCCTCCCCAATGTCCATCACCCAGCCACCCGATCCCTCCCACCCCCCTCCACTCCAGCAACCCTCAGTTTGTTTCCTGAGATTAAGAGTCTCTTATGGTTTGTCTCCTCCTCCAGTTTCGTCTTGTTTCATTTTTCCTTCCCTTCCCCTATGATCCTCTGCCTTGTTTCTCAAATTCCTTATATCAGTGAGATCATATGGTAATTGTCTTTCTCTGATTGACTTAATTTGCTTAGCATAATACCCTCTAGTTCCATCCACGTCATTGCAAATGGCAGGATTTCATTTTTTGATGGCTGCATAATATTCCATTATATATATATATACACACACACCACATCTTCTTTATCTAATGGGCCCTTATTCCTCTCAGAATCTTCATTTGTACTCTCTTGAGCTTCCCTTCTCTTCAGAAGAGTGTGGTCTTCAATCAGCAATAGTCAAAATTTGCACTTAAAGTTGGTATTATTAGAGTTGGTCCTTGAGATAGCCTTTAAGGGGCTGGGAGTTTGGAATGGTTATGACTAGACTGGTCTATAGCCTGCAAAGGGGACCAAATAATGCCTCCATTATAGTTGACAAAGTTTGCCTAAAGAAGGGATAGAGTAATTAAGAAAAAAAGTATATGTAAAGTGAAGGCATGCCTTCATTTGCTAAGTGCTCACTTGGAATATTGTTTTCAGTCTGATAAGTAATCAGTATAAATAGATCAGGAGGGAGCCTAGATAACTAAATATTTGAAATGGAAGGACTTTGGGCTTCTGTATGAGAAAGGATTAAAAAAACTTTTCAAACTGGAGAAGACATGATCAAAGTGTTAATACGTGGATGGGGTAAATAATACTGATTTAGTCACCAATTTAGGAATTGGTTGATGCTTTAAAGAGGTAATTTTAGGGTAAGTAAAAGAAGTACAGATGATTTCAGATTTCTTACCACCAGTATGTAGCATAGGTAGAGATAAGAAAATACTGATTTGAGAAAAGTTTTAGGGGGCGCCAGGGTGGCTCAGTTGGTTAAGCATCTGACTCTTGATTTTGCATCAGGTCATGATTGAACCCCAACGTTGGGCTCTGCCCTGAGTGTGGAGCCTGCTTAAATTAAGATTCTCTCTCCCTTTTTCTCTACCCCCCTTCCCCTCCTTGTGCACACTCACTCTCTCTCTCTCTCTCTACAAACAACCCCCAAAACTTTTAATATTGGGGGCAAAAGGGGTGGTAAAAATATCACTAATATATCAGATTTATATTTGGAAACAACCCTAGGATTTTTTTCTTTTTTTATTTAAACAGAAGGGATAAAAAATTTTTAAGTTCAGGAAAAGGGGACATAATATAAAGATTAGAGAAATGTCAAGGTAGATAAACTCATGAATAGCAGATTCACCGAGTGGGAATTAGGAAAATACAAGGGGAATAGGATATGTTCTCTGCCTTGAGGTTGAGATAATTGTATCTTCCCCTAAGTACCATGTTGCTTGCATTTAATAGCTTCTAGCTTCTAAAGAATGACTTAAGTCTTGAACTGTTCCATTTAGGAAATAAAATTAAATAATAATATATTAATATCAGATATTTTTGAGGGATTTTTAAAAATTGGTCCTATAATCCATTCCTTTGTGAAAAGACCAATTTGAAAAATAGTCATATTTTTTAGCGTTGTATTCAAGATAGTGGTTATCCACGATGGGAAGGGAGGTAGGAGATATATTCAGCTGATTGGTAGTGTTTTATTTATTAAACTGGGTGGTGAGTTAATGACTGTTTATACTGTTCTTCATACCTTATTGTAGGCCTTAAATATTATATAGTAAAATAATTTCCCAACTTTTTATTATGTGAAATATTCAATTACATATGCCCTTCACCTAGATTCAGCAGTTTTTAACATTTTGCCATTTGGGATTTTATCTCCATATGTGTATATCTATATTTATATGCATTTTTTCCCCTAAACTGTGAAAGTAACTTGTACACACTGTAACAATCCATCCCTAAATATCCCAGCTTTCCTAAGAATAAGGATATTCTTTTCACATAAACATTACCATTATAATGGTACCTAAGACAATAAATAGTTCTGTTACATAATATAATATCCTGTCTGTATTTAAATTTCTCCAATTGTCCGTAAGATGTCTTTTATAGCAGTTTTTATCTATTATAAAATAAAGACTCAAGGAATGCCTTTGGTTGTTGTCTCTCTTTAGTCTTAATCTAAAATCTTCGGGCGCCTGGGTGGCTCAGTCGTTAAGCGTCTGCCTTCGGCTCAGGTCATGATCCCAGGGTCCTGGGATCGAGTCACACATCGGGCTCCCTGCTCAGTGGAAAGCCTGCTTCTCCCTCTCCCATTCCCCCTGCTTGTGTTCCTGCTCTCACTGTCTCTCTCTGTCAAATAAATAAATAAAATCTTTAATCTAAAATCTTCCACTTTTTTAATACTAACTTTTTGAAGAGTCTTGGCCAATGTAGTTTTCTTCTGCACATTTACCTTCACCAGCTGATTTCTAAGGATCAACTGAGATGACGGTCTTATTTCTTGAAGTTTATTGTTGTCTTATTGTTTTTAGAGTAAAACTTGTTTAAACTTTAAATATGTGTTCCGAATTAAGTTTTCAGGTGTGATTTAGAGCTCTTTTCCTGCATTGTTATATTTAGTAGCTTAATGATGATAATGCATATTTGGTTGTTGAGTTTCACTTAGGCAGAGTCTCATTTGTTAAAGTTGTTAATAGAGTGGTTACATAGTGTACAATCAGAATGATTCATTTCAAACTTAGTGGCATGTAATGAATATCTGCTTGACCATAGAAAAGACTCAGCATAAGCAATTCAAATGAAATTCCAACTATTGAATTAGTATTTGCAGAGGACTGAATTTATTTGTTGAATTTGACAGTAGTGTAAGAGAATAGTCCCATGGTTGCTTTATATATTTAAGTCAGCTCTTTTCTTTAAGCCATGATGTAATTTTTTTATTGGCAGGGCACAGGACTGTTATATTTTTCTAATAGTCTTTATAGTAAAGAGAAATTGGTGAGTCTTTTAAAATAGTCATAAAGAGATTTAACTTTCTTAAAATGATTAAGTTTTAAAGGTAAAACATTTGTGCTTTTAGTCTCTTTGTAGAAGAAAATACCTTTCATTTAATAGATTTTTTTGGTGTGTGTATATGGAGCGTATGTGGAAGTCATTTCTGAAGTGAAATAAGAGAGGTGCCCAGTAGCTAGTTGTAAATACAGATTTTTGTCTTAATAGAAGTTGAGTAAGTAAATGAGAGAGCTATTTTCATTTTCAAAGTAATTCTCATACATAGTCCAAATACTTATATTAAAACTGCCTCCTAGGAGTACTCAGATACACAGTACTCCGTAAAAGCCCTGGAAGGCTTGCATTTTTGAGTGTTACTTGTTCATCAATAGAGATGGTACCTTGTATAAATTTAAGTTGTCAAGTGTAGTGCTTTCCCACGTCGGGCTCCCTCCTTGCAGGAAACTGCTTCTCCCTCTCCTCCCTGCTCTGCTCTCTCTCACTATCTGTTTGTCTCTCAAATAAATAAATAAAATCTTTAAAAAAAAAAAGAGCTTCAAATTATAGTGGGACTCGATAACCAATTAAACAAGGACAAAAGAGGATATAAATAAAGTTTACAATCTTTATATTAAACGTTTTAAATTGGGACTTTTTGTTCATTTGGACTACTTGAGATTTTTATTTTATGGAGGTGAAACTATGAAATTATGAATATAAAATATAATTCCAGTCATAGCATACTCTGTATCTGCTGAATTTTTTTCTGAGATTTTATTGAAGTTGAATGCACCCTTTTAAGGAATCAAAATTTTCATGCCAAATGTTTAATTCATGATTTTATTCTCAGGTCCTTTTGCTAACTTGTGAATGCAGTTTGGTTTGGATTTTTTTTTTTTTAATGTTTGCTTTTTAATGCAGAATTGAATTTACTAAAGATGCAATTTAGACTTTTAAAGGTTTTAACTAGAAATTATTTTCTTTTGCTAGGAGGCAGGTGGAAGTCATCATAAAGTTTCTGTTTCACCTGTTGTCCATGTTCGAGGACTCTGTGAATCTGTGGTGGAAGCAGACCTTGTGGAGGCCCTGGAGAAATTTGGGACAATATGGTAAGGCTCATAGGGACTTCATGCAGATTGAAAACAGTATGGTAAAAGCCTTGATGTTTAACCATAGTATATATTACTTGCCTGTGACTGTATTTCTTTAGAACCTCTGTATTTCTTTTAAGCCTCTTATTTTTAACCTTCTGGGATGATGCATGTATGTATTTTTGTGGATCCATGATCACCTCACACTCCTCAGCCAGGTTGTATGTAAAATAGATTATGGCATCTTCCATCTGATTTTCAAATGAGTCCATGATTCCTTGTTAGGCACTGTTTTATGTTTGAATGAGTTGATAACACCCTTCGTCTTTAGAGTTTTAAGTAGTGGTACTTAAAAACTGATTTTTTGTTGTTTATTTTGGAATATTTAAGAATTAATAGGCAAGTAACAGTGGGTAGATTAAGGATAGGCATTATTTGCTTAGGTGTGTGTTACTGAGTTCTTATGCAGACCAGGAGCAGTCAGTGTTTTATCCTAGTTTGTTTTATTTTTGTGTTTTGTATTCACTCAGGCTCCTCCTTTCTCTTCCCACAGCTGGTGTATGCTTAAGAATATTGACTTAAGTGAAAACATAATCAGAAAAGTGAATCTGCTGCCAAAAATAGACACTCAAAAATTCTTTCTAAATTATTTTTGGAGTATGCCCGGCTGTTGTTCTCTTCTTAGTATGGGTAGCCTGGAGTTGATTTTATTATTTTTTCCTTGGTGAATATGTTTGGGGTTTTGGTTATAGGCATCAGAGACACAGACTAACTCAAAATATAGAAACAGCAGAGAAATTTCAGTATATTTGCTGAGATTGATTGCTCCAATCTTACAAAAATTTATGTGGAGTTCTGAGTTTTGAAAGGATGCATAAATAGATGGTGAGAGAGTAATCAGAGATGTCCGGCAGGAATCGTTGCTTCAAAGGAGTAGTAATGTTAGGTGACACCTTCCATCATGGCATCTTTTTTTCTTTTTTTAATTTTATTTTATTTTCCTCGATGACCTTATTGAGAGGTGGATGACTTGGGAAACCTGTTATCCTCAACTTACGTACGTCAGAAACAACAGTTACATATTGTTTATTCTTGGAGGTACAAATTGGCAATCTACACGGCAGAAGAAAGTCCATTTCTTAAAGTGTCATTAAGATGACTGTATCACTTCTTGTCATTTCAAGTGGGTATTGGAAATGAAGTTTGTCTGGAGCTTTATATATTGAAGCAGAACCCTCAGACTTTATTTAGACTTGACATGTTGGCACTAGACTAACTCTATGGGTTGCATTATCCCATGGAGTTAGAAAGAGATGGTTATTTCTGGCTTATTTTTTCTTCTGTTTTTTTTATATTGGGCTTTTAAAGTTATTTCCTTAAAGTGAAGAAATACTGAAACAATATTAGAAAACAAGTTGATGAGCAAATACTGGTAGAAACTTTAGAGAAATGATAACTGTATTGATATTTTGATGTTAATTATGACCATGACCTAAATGTTGGGCATTAAAGAAATAGGACTATTTTTTGAAGTTGGTGAGTTACTTGAATCACTTTTGAGTGGCCTGTCCATTTTTAGCCTGTATACTTTTTGATATTTAGTCCATGGTAAAGTGTTTTATATATGAATGTAATTCATAATTTGCATAGTACATCATTCTACCCTCAGGATTGCTAGTTTTGTGGATAAAAAAGTCATGAAATAGGGGCTCCTGGGTGGCTCAGTCATTCTGCGTCTGCCGTCGGCTCAGGTCATGATCCCAGGGTCCTGGGATCGAGCCCCACATCGGGCTCCCCGCTCAGCGGGAAGCCTGCTTCTCCCTCTCCCACTCCCCCTGCTTGTGTTCCGTTCCCTCTCTCACTGTGTCTCTCTCTGTCAAATACATAAAATCTTAAAAAAAAAAGTTATGAAATAATTGGAACAAATTAGTGTATAATTAAAAGTTTAATTGGCATAAATATGTGCAGTAGGAGTTTTAATTGTATGAAATGCTCTTGAATAAGAGGTGGCTACTGTTGAAGCTGAAAGACCTTGAATAGCCTCCAAAGAGGAGTAGGTGTTTTGCTTCAAAATGTTGCATTTATAGAACTTTTCTCTGTTTATTTCTTTAGTGGTGTGTGTGGGATTATAAAGATTATATAGAAACTGCTTATATTAAAAAGATGCGTCGCTAAGTTCAACATATAGTAAGTTTATACCTAAAAACTAAATGCGTAGGATAGAATATGATGTTGAGAATGGTTGTGTCAGTATAATAAAATTCTGTGTATTTTTTGTCTTTATTCTGTAATGTATTCATGTATTAGGGTCAAAAGAATGTTTAAAAATCTATACTGAGTCTTCCTCCCTTTTCCTCTTCTATTAAAGGAGAGGATGCTAGGTATAATTAGCTGTATTGGTTTAAAATTTTAAAACAAAACTTTTGGGACCTAATTTGTATAATAAATCTTTTGCCGCCTCCTGTTTCCATTTAAAAATTAGTAAATGTGTTTTGAGTTATAAGTTGAAAGCACTGACCCTACCATGTCCCTTAGCCCTTTTGTTAATTTTTTTCTTTTCTTTGGTCTTCCAGTCTTCCTCAGTATTAGTGCTTTTAAAGATTTCTTTTTTTTTTTTTTTAAAGATTTTATTTATTTATTTGACAGAGAGAGAGAGAGCACAAGCAGGGGGAATGGCAGGCAGAGAAGCAGAGGCTTCCCGCCGAGCAGGGAGCCCGATGTGGGACTCGATCCCAGCACCCTGGGATCATGACCTGAGCCGAAGGCAGATGCTTAACGACTGAGCCACCCAGGCGCCCGCTTTTAAAGATTTCTTGTAAATTATGTGCCAGACAGTTTAGGTGCATTCTAAAATGTGACATTCTAGTTTCCCCTTCTTTATCTTCATGTAATGGTACTTCTTAACTTTTAAGTCTGTGCTTCTAGCTCACTTAACTGTAGTTACAGAAGGCAGTTTTACTGTGACCATGTCTATAATAGGCAAATAAAGAATTTATTTTTGAACCTTTATAATTTTCTGTGTGCCAAAGAATCAGAGGGCATTATTAATGTATTTACTTGGTAATACCATTTAGCTATTCAACCAACTTATATTTTTGTGAGAGGGGAATGTTTATTCTTTAATTTCTTTAGCGTAGTCCCGACTCCAGGGTTTTCTATTTTTTGTATGCAAGACTTCAGAACTTTATGGGCGCCTGGGTGGCTCAGTTGGTTGGGCGACTGCCTTCGGCTCAGGTCATGATCCTGGAGTCCCTGGATTGAGTCCCGCATCGGGGCTTCCTGCTCAGCAGGGAGTCTGCTTCGCCCTCTGACCCTTCCCCCTCTCATGTGCTCTCTCTCTTTCAATCTCTCTCTCTCAAATAAAATCTTTAAAAAAAAAAAGACTTCAGAACTTTAGCAAGAAATTTCTAAAAGGAATGTTTTTCTCTCCTGGGATTTATATTTTGCATTCACAATTGGTAAATCTTTAATTCAAGGTCTGTTGTTTCTGTATTTTCTTTAATTTTGAACGATGTGGGTGGGGAGAGCTACCAAGCCTCATAGACTGACAAATATTGATTGAATGCCTGTTATGCATCAGCTCTGTTTCTAGATTCTGAGGATATGAAGATGAATGAGGCAAGGCAAGCAGTTTGTATGTAGTAACATAATATTGACAACAGGATTGTCAAGTTGAAACTCTTTCAAGTTTTGTAAATGAGGAAGCTGAAATTCTTAAGAAATTATGTAACTTGCCAGGTTACAAAGTGGTCTGTTTCTTATTAATAAGCATTTACCACTTTCTAAAGGGTAGCAGTAGGTCTGGATGCTTATTGAGAAACAGTGCTTTTACTGAGTACCTGATACGATGTTTTTTTCTGCAGCCTTCTACTGTTACAAAACCATGATAATTGTTTTTTTAAAACATTTTTAAGGTGCTTGTTTTTGTGAACAGAGGACATGTTGTTTCCCCTGGTGTGATCCACCTGCTTTGACTTCTTTCTTCCCTTCATTGCTTTATTTTTCAATTCATATACTAAAATATATTCCTCCAGTGAAATGTGAATAACTTCACCCTCTTTCTCATAGGCAACCATGATTACTATAACCTAGTGAATATCTCTTCGTAGATTCTTTAATATTTAAAAATATTTTGGAGGAGATTATTTGTATGAAATTTAGTTGGTTTGGAGTTGCTTCTATGTATCTTTTGATTCTCTAGTTTTTAGTAAGATAAATGAAAGTATACAGTCAGTTCTTAGTTATTAGTGGGGACACTTATTTATTTGGAAAATTTAATAGAGGTAGTAGTTTCTGTTGTTAGGGGTCCTATCTGCTAATCTTCTGTTCAGTTTTTTTAAAGATTTTATTTATTTGTCAGAGAGATAGAGAGCACAAGCAGGGGGAGTGGCAGGCAGAGGGAGAGGGAGAAGCAGGCTCCCCGCTGAGCAGCGAGCCCGATGTGGGACTTGATCCCAGGACCCTGGGATCGTGACCTGAGCCGAAGGCAGTCGCTTAACTGACTGAGCCACCCAGGCGCCCTCTGTTCAGTTTTATTTCCATTAGTTTCTATATCTAGATATTTTCTAATACTGTTTGGGAGTGGCGGCCTGAAGAATAAATGGGGCGGTGTCATTAGTAACTGATAACAGAGACTTGTGCTTGAGGGCAAAAAGTGGAAAACCTTTCAGTCACAGGAGGATAAGCTTTCAAATATGCATCATCTGTCTGGTGTACCACAATTTATTTGGATGATTTAAGAATTGACTAACATTGGATAAATGTAGTGAAGAATACTAATCTGTGTGATTTGACACGTTTTTATTAAAGTCTGCTTTTCCTTGATTGAGAATAAATAATGTTAACTGAATTTATTATATTTGGGTATTCCTTTCCAATCTCCCTTTCAGCTATGTTATGATGATGCCGTTTAAACGGCAGGCTCTAGTGGAATTTGAAAACATAGATAGTGCCAAAGAATGTGTGACGTTTGCTGCGGATGAACCTGTATACATTGCTGGTCAACAGGCTTTTTTCAACTATTCTACAAGCAAAAGGATCACTCGGCCAGGAAATACTGATGATCCATCAGGAGGCAACAAAGTTCTTCTGCTATCAATTCAGAATCCTCTCTATCCAATTACAGTGGTATGCATTTTAGTATAATAAACTAAATTAAAAGTGATTTTGAAAATTGCCTCTAGAGTGACTAACCTATAGTTTTCTTCACTGCCATCTAGATATTTAAAAACAGTGTTTTTTAAAAGAATTATTAACATGAATCTTAATTTTGACTATCATGTTTAATGAACAAAGAAATGGTGAGCACTGAAGCTAAAAAGGTCAGAAGTGCAGTTGTCACAAATAAGCAGTTTTAAAGAATTTGTATTATTTAGCATCAATATTAACTGTTTCTGATAAGGAATTAGACTTGTTAGAAATAATCCAAGAAATTTCTCTCACTTGCATGCCAGCACGTGTTAAGAGCATCTGCTAGGTAAGGACAGAATCCCAAAGATGTATATATTATTATAAGTGGTTTTGAGATAACTTATTAAAAACCTGTCTGATTTACTTAAAATTTCCAGTTTCGCCCTTTAAAAAAGTGGTATTAGCAGAATTTTTACAAAGAATTCATGTCCTGAACCAATTAAGTTTTCTACTTCATAACGAGATGCTGTTTCATAATAAGCCAGTGACAAGGACACTTTATTTTTGTGATGAATAGTATATCACAGTAAGGGAAGCTTCAATTAGTTTGATTTCTAGTAAGGATATATGATATTGGGACATAAAAGAAAGCATAAGATACTATTTAAATTAGATATTTACCTCTGTAATACTTCTAGACTTATTAATAAGCAATATTAATTAGTATTAATTACAGTATTTGGTGTTTGGGGAGAAAGAATGTACCTAATCTAGTACAAGTATTCTGATTTGTTTATGGTTGTATCCCTAGAACCTAATGGTGCCGCTGTGTAATTGTAGGTGCTCAAGAAATTTCTTGATAGTTGAAGAATTGTTCTTAAGTAGGTATTTAAGTTCTCTCTTATTTAATTCAGGGATCTTGTTTGCTGACATCTAACATTGTATAAATGATCTTTCCAGAATCTTTTCTCTATATAGTCGTTGTCCCTTGAAAAATGAATACCAAGTTGATATGTTACTACTTCTTAATAAACATTTATTACTATAATTCAAGGGATTATAAAACAGTCTGGAGTCACATTTGGAAAACAAAACATAAATTAATTGATTATAGTTTCGGTTTACTTATTGTATATTGTCAGACATCATTTTAGGTACCTGTTAAAATAAGAATCAAGGATTTATTTAGGAGATAAAATAGGTAGCAGTCCTTTTGAAATGTTTCATTTTAACTTCTCTAATGTTGGATATACTGTATGGGTGAGGAAATAACTTTAGAAGTGTAACAGTTTTTAAAAGTTTAATTAGTAAAAGTTTAATTAGTAATGAATAGAAATGATGTCTTGAGGTTTTTTTTCTTAAGTTAAAAAAAGCAGGGTGTAATTTTCTTGTTTTTCCAAATATAAAATGTGAAGAAATCTTGTTTTCTTTCCTTCATAGGATGTTTTATACACTGTATGCAACCCTGTTGGAAAAGTACAACGTATTGTTATATTCAAGAGAAATGGGATACAAGCAATGGTTGAATATCCTTTACCTATAAATTTTTTTATTGTTGTATAAGATTTCTGTGTAATATGGTCTTATTTTTTCCTGCTTAATCATATCCTGACAAGTGGTATGTATTCTCTGCTCTTCTCCGAAGATCTACTTGTTTTAGATTTAAAAAATGAAACTGCAGTACCCACAGATAAGAATAACTTGTTACCTAAAAACATTCCAGTACTTCATCTCACAGTATGCTTTTCTTTTTAATGGGGAAGCAATAACATTATTTGATAATATGTACATTTATACCTTTTTATTTTATTTTATTTTTTAAAATTTTCTTATTATGTTCGGTTAGCCAACATATAGTAGTATATCATTAGTTTTTGATGTAGTGTTCAACGATTCATTAGTTGCATATAACACCCAGTGCTCATTTGTACCTTTTTAAAATGTATCCCAAATGGACTATTCTGACTCTCTCCTTAAAATAGGTAATTTGGAAGTACTAAAACTTTATAGAGTCAGTAATACAAAACTGTTCTTCCCTTTTTTGGTTGAATTTTTCAAATGGTCATGATTTATGTAAAAACTTTTTTGTTAAATTTAATTGTTGAGTAAAAAGAGCAAGTTGCAAAATAGTATGTATTGTATAATCCCATGTAAAAAAATATCCCCCAACTTGTCTGTACATGTGTATGCATAAAAAAGGTGGGGGCTATACAGCAAACTCTTAATAGTGCTGACTTCAAGCAAGGTGCTTTTGTCCTTTTTTTTAAACCACTTTGGTGGTTTGATTTTTTTTTTTTAAACAACTTATAGACCCAAGTAATTTTTTAAAACCAATAAAATCAAGATAGTTAAATGATTATAAAACTCTGCCTTCTCAGAAATATATAAAAATCAAATTATTTGTTTTATATAGTTTTGGTTTTTTGTAATGTTTTTCCTCCTTTAAGAGTAAAATATTTCCTGTTTCTAGATAGCAAACTGTCATTTGCCAGGGAATGGGACCATGCTCCATTTCCCCTCTTCTTTTCAATTTATAAAGTACTTTTGATTATTTAGAAGGATTAATGTAGATAGTTTGGTTTATTATGTTTTCTTTGGTACCCTGGATCTTAAAAATGAATTTTCCGAAAATTCATCTAGAAATTTTATTGGTAAAACATTTCTAGAAGGGAGAATTATGTTTATTTTCAGTCCTTTTCTTAGGCAGTGAATAATGATTAAATATTGGACACCTTAAACCAAATTTCCTTAATAGAGCTTATGTTTGAATCAGTCCTTTGTGCCCAGAAAGCTAAAGCAGCACTCAATGGAGCAGATATATATGCTGGATGTTGCACACTAAAAATCGAATATGCAAGGGTAAATATTTTTTCAACACTTTGCCAAAGAAATATTTATGCTTTGGATATATAATTTGAGCTTACTTTCTTTTTAATCTTAACAGCCAACTCGTCTAAATGTTATTAGGAATGACAATGACAGTTGGGACTACACTAAACCATATTTGGGAAGACGAGGTAAGTATTTTATGCATTTTAGAATGTACTTAAATCTGCTGACAAATTTTTACATACAGTTAGATTCCTTTTTCCGGAGGTGAGCTAGTTCATTCAAAAGAAAACCTTGTTGGTGAATGCTTTTGTTGCAAAAGGCCATGTAATGCTGGAAAATAACCTTGAAATTAGTGCCCCCTACTGGTATGTACTGAGTTATTTATATTTAGTTCAACAAGGAGCCCACACATACAGGCACGCCCGCAGTTCAAGGACTTGCATTTCTCCAAGCAGCTCTCTCTCTTTGGAGGAGAGGAAACTGATTCAGAATATTCCTTACAAACTGCAAACTTGCACACTGCTTCTCTATGGAAAGGACTTTTCCCCCAAGCTGGACGAGGCATTAAGAAGGATAGAGGACTCCAGCAGGCTGACTCTACACTTCATCATGCACAACATCGGCATCAGCAAAAAGCCCTCTGAAAAACTCAGACTTGCAATTCACCTTGACTGCATACTGCATGCACCATCACCCCAAGTTTTTAAAGGAGGACACTTAACAGTACTTCAGACTTGCATGGGATGAACACCATGATAGACTGTGCCCATTTATTCAAGTTGTATGTGTATATTGGTCTGATTTCCCTTAAGGTTTCAGTTGTAGAATTTAAGCCTTTTCACTAACGGGTACTAGACTTTATTTACAATGTTGTAAATCTTCATGCCCATTAATGTAACTGTTTTCAGCTTAGATTTAAATTGTTAATTGGCAAATAACCAGGGCCAGTTTATCTATAGGTCTTGAGAACTGCTAATGCTCAACCAATCCACACAGATATTAAAGATAAAAGGATTAGAAAGGTGCACATTTGCTGCACTTAAATTTACTCTTTTGGGGTTTTTTTTCCTTAACTGTGGACATTGAACAGATTAACATAATGATGAAAAGTTGCATTATATGTAAAAGATGGTTTCTGTGTGGTTTGATTTTTTGTAAAGTGGCTGTTCATAAGTTGTTACTTTTTGTAACGATTTAAGGTTATCACTCATGTTAACTTGTGTAACTAGAAATTTCGACATTTCAAATGTAGGTGAAAGTAACATGTCTGTTTAAGGTAGACTATATTTAAACTTGATAAATCTTAAAATAAGAGCATTTCATTTGAGATGCATTTTCACCTATAACTTATAAATGCTAGATTTCATGAGCATAGATTTGACTGATAAAATTGTTCAACTAACTGTGTGGCAATTCTGGAATATACAAATTAAAATGTGGATCTTGTAAAAACAAGGGGGCTGCAGTATTGGCTACACCTCAACTACAATATCAGTGTTTGAACCACATGTTGAAAAAACTCACCAAGATGAGCATATCTGTAAAAGTCCATAAAGTAGGAAAAATTTTTACGGCATCCAAAATATCTTGGGCAGTAGGGACTCAGTAGTGCATGTACTCTTGCCAAAAGAGAAAATGAAGGACAATGTGATGATCCTTTGCATGTTCCAGTATTTAGAACTTTGGCTGATTGGCCCCTTTAATTCTCAGTTCTTAGGAAATCATCTTGCCTTATGCATGGGGTTGCAGACAGGTTTGTATTGTGATGCAGCTTTGGCTGGACCCCACATTTTTCCCTATTTACAAATCTGTTTGGCATAGGCTTGGTACAGTTGAATACAGTATTGGAAAACAAGGCCTTAGTACTCAAACAACAGAACAAGTGGTTGATGAGAAATCTCTCACTTCTGTCAAATTACAGTCTGTTATTGAATACTTTTTTTTTTTTTAACTCATTTGAAACAGTGAGTTTTGGTTACATTTCTCTTAATGTCTCTTAAAACATTTGTAGATGTGCTTCTTATTTTAATAGTGTTTACATCTGTTCTTCTGGGTCTAAAATTTCCGCAGAGCCAGCTTAGATTAGTTTTTGATACAAGGAATTACAACCAGAAAAGGTTAGAAACGTGTGAGGTAGATACTTAAATAGTGAAATATAAAGAAGTAAAGCAGAAGTTTAGTTGGTTTTCAAGGGGAAAACATTCTTGCTTTCTAATTCCTGATATTTGTCTGGCAAGACTAGCAGTTTCCGTTCTTGTTTTTGTAGTGACTTCATCTTCCACTCAAGTTGATACTGAATTGTAACTTTTTCTACCAAAAAAATCTCTGTAATAAATATAACCTCATTTTTGAAAGTCCCTTTTCAGCCCAAATTACATTTTAGTGCAAAAAGTTCTTAACCTGGACTCCAGAGAATCATTCCAGAAATGTTAAACAAAAACTTGTATATGTGTGCATCTTTTTGGGGAGAAGATATACAGTTTCCATCAGATTTCAGATGAATTCATGAAAAGTCACAAACCACTATTTATAGACTGATGTGATCAGTATTTGACTCTTCTGCACACTTCTGTTTTATGTGACCTTTTATTAGGTAGTGAATGCTTTGAATGAAGAGAATTATTAATAATGAGAATGTTTGGCTGAAAGATACCTTGGGAGACCATCCACTCTAACTCCTTCATTTTATGAATGAAGATTGTGAATTTCTGTGATTATACAGTGAATTAGTGGTTAAATTGGAATCTTCTGATTCCCAGTCTAGTGCTCTTTCCTTTATATAGCACACTCTTAACTGTATCAATAAAACTGAGCCATGAAGACATTATGGTGGTTTTGGTTAAGATTCCTTAGATCAGAAAAGGAATTGCATGTAGTGTTTGGTGGCATGCTTAAGTAGAAGAATATTAACAGGAGGGATTAGCAGACTGGATTAATTCAGGAGGAGTGGGACTTAAATTATGATGCTGGAACCCATGTAATGGAAAGAAGGAACTGTGAATGACTGGAGAAGAAATGACTTTGGGGAAATGGAGGGAGGATCTTGATAAATTGGAAGCATTTGAGAGGGTTTTTGGAGAAAGATGAAGTCTGTGAGGCCCGAATGGGATAAAATATGGGTAGAGGACCAGTTTCTATACAATATAAAAATTATCTCATTATTTAGGACCCAACTGAAAATGTAAGGAAAAGTAGTGAGTACCTTGTTACTGGTGTTAGGTAAGCAGAGGGCTAGATGGTTCCAATTGATAGGGATGGTGTAAAGAGAATTTATACACTGAATAAAAGTTGAATAAGATGACCTCTTAGGTCCCTTTTATAATGCTATAACTTGGAATAGGTACTTAAAATGATACTTCTCTAGGCTGAAGTGAAAATTATTTCTCATCTCCCATAAACCTCATTTGTTTAGGTGACTAAGGATTTATAGAAAGCCTTTCTATGAATTTTCAAAGATTAGAATGACCAGACTCATAAGATACATTTAAAAAAAAAATCTTATTTGGTACTATAATTTGATCAGCAAACTTTCTAAAAGTATTGTACAGTAATTTCTAAAATTTACCAACCAACATAGGAAGTGCTATTTTAGAAACTTACAAGTAATTTTTTTTTGATGTCTCAAATTAAATTTAGGAAAATTGGCATGCCTTTCCTGAAAACATAGCTAGAATAAAAATTATTTTTTAGGAGTATTGTAGTACTCTCATCCAATAATGTAGCCCCCTTGGTTAGCTTTATCTTGGCATATTTAAACTTTGGGGGGGGTGCTCATAGTCCTGCCTGGTGTTAAGGTCTATAGACAATGACCAATCCATGATATAATATGGGCCAGTGATGTGCAAATTTCCAGCTCTCAAGTCAGTAGGTGTTTGTAAATATGTGTATATACATACAAAATACTCTGTGTTTACTGATTGTGAAACCATGTAATACAGGTTGTTGTTGGCTTATGCTGAACTTCTTGAAAGAAGCCCACTTTGAAAATGTGTTGCTGTTGAAGCTAATAGTATGATTCAGGTACTGTCTTTCAAAAGTACTGCACTTAAAGCTTGTTTTAAAGACATGTATTGGTAAAAACTTCTGTACAGTGTCAAACTCTAGCATTGTGTATGTTCACTTTCTGAAAAGTATCCATTCTTTCCTTAAATTTGAAAGTGTGATTGTATTTGGCATTTGCCAAAAAGATATTTCAAGTTAAGTGGAATTTGTTAGATAGAATTATTTCCTTAAACTCTTGGTGTTTGTATTTAAATTGGATATGAATGGATGTTTAAAGTTAACCAGGAATCATATTTCTTTTATGAATTGTAATGGATGTTTTGAATGGGTGTTTCCCATGTGAGTACTCTGTTAAGTACTTGGGTCAAAATTGTTAAAACCATGTTTCTACTTTTGTGTCAGATAGAGGAAAGGGTCGCCAGAGACAAGCCATTTTGGGAGAACACCCTTCTTCGTTTAGACATGATGGCTATGGTAAGTTTGTCAAGGCAGAAGGAAGGTAGTATAGATGAACTATTAGAATTTTTGCTTTTCTGATGAAGAATGGCACATTTCTTGTCTCTATTTTTCCTGCTCACCTGACTTGGTTTATAGAGGATCTGTCCCTTATAATGTACTCCCAAGGAGTTGTCCAAAATCCTTTGTTTTCTTAGGATATTGATATATCATATAATCCTTGAGATGAATGAGAGCTATTGGTTGGGGATTGAAAGCTTTTTTACCATTTTGGTTTGGTTTGGTTTGGTTTTGATTAGTAATGGCCTCTGGTCTGTTAGAGGACCAAAAGGAAATACTATTGGTTAGTAAGTATATTTTCTTATATTCTAGCAATTATGAACAAAGAGGAACTTTGAGTAATAAAGGCAGAAAGAATAGGGCATTTGTCAAAAAGAAACATGTTTCTGGTTAGAGCCTAATTTTTTAGTTCTACCGTTGGTATTTTGGCTTCGGCTAAATTTGTTTGTATTTAATTCCTCTTTTAAAACTTCTGTTTTAATGTTTGCTATCTTGGTAAGATTAAGATCATGAAACCTAGAATAATATTCTTCCTCAGGAAAAAGTTAGGTATCAGACTATTGTCCTTGTAGGGGTAATTGTTGAGAATTGCTATTGATAAGACTTTTAACTGGTTATAAGTTCTGTGTTTTTTAATCTTTTTTAGTTTTTAGTAGTAGTTATTGGCCCCACCTATTCTGTGGTTTAAAGCTGAAGTACAATGCTATTTGAAGTGGTAGAAGATAGAAATTGCTATATTGTACTTTCGGGATTTATCTTCGAAAATCTCCCTGTGTTGCCTGTTGTCTGAAATGTTTTCAAATTGCTTACATGTTTGATGACTCTTCTTAGCCGTGAGTTTTAGCTTATTCCTTAGTGTCTTTTTTTGAACTCTGGGATTTAGTTCCTCTGTGTGTGTGTGTGTGTGTGTGTGTCTATTTGTTCAGGTTGCTATGGTAGTCTATATGGCAGAAGTGATTGAAACAATCTCTTTTTTTTTGTCAAAACAGTAAGTGTGGTATAGAATGAAAATCTTCCGATTGTTTTAGTGAGTTCCTTGATCATTTTTCTTAGCTGTTTCTTTAACAGCATAAATATTAAATCTGGTCATATGAATAGTTCTGCTCCTGCAGTAAAGAAACACTTATTAGGAGCCTACTGTGCTTCCCATAATGGAAGGTTACAAGGAATTGCTAACCACAAGTTTGTAGTGTAGTTGTGGGGTATATGTGTCATGGCAGTCAGCGGAAGGCTAAAAATTGTTTAAATATTTTGCCAAAGAGGTCTAGAAAAATCTGTGAAAGAATAAATGAAGGACAAAGAACCTTACTGTGGTAGTGTTGACACAGACTATTTTCTCAGTATGGGTTTTCAGGTTTGCCTTTCTTTATAAAATATATCTTACTGATAAATTGTATAAATAAAAATATATGCATGCCGAGAACTTTATATTTTTAAATATAAAAATTCCTCTTTATATTTTTAAAAAGCCTGTTGTGAAATTCTTTGTCAGTTTCATACCCTAATTGATTTTGCATGTTTGTGTGTGTGTAAATTTTAATGTAAGCTTACTTAAAGAGAGGTGCAAAATTCTTTGCACTGGCAGTTAAATAGGGTCCTGCTGAGGAGGAATGGTTGTGGTGGGGTTTTGTGTAGGGGCATCCATTCTGAGCTATGTCCATTGAAACAGTTAACTCTCTGAGGATAACTTGTTCTGCTTTCCTAGGGGAGTATAGGAGGAGAGAGAGATGAATAAAAAGAGGTGGAGAAGAGAAGTAAGGTGAGGAAATTGGGGGGAAAGCGAAGAAGATGGGGAGTAGGTGCTGGTGATACAGTGAGCCTTTTTAAAAACTGCAAATCGAGCTGTATCCCTTCAGATCAGCAATTCAGCAAAACAGGTGTTTTTGCATTTTGGTGTCATATCATGGGTGGCTTTTCCTTTATGATGGTATATGAGAATGAGGGAATAGAAAAGGCTTAATTATTTAATTAAATTAAATTTATTCATTGGTTTTTTTTATAGCAGTATAAATCTGTGCTTTCAGAGCTCTTTAAATCTTTTACTTTGGGAAGCCCTGTCCTATGAGGTGAACTGGTAGACGTCCTCATACTTGAAAAATACTATTTTTACCACTTTTATACAGATTTAGTTTCTGTGGGTCTAAGAAAAGTTTGTATATTAATTGCAAGCATCTTTGGATATGGCTCCTGGACCAAAGATTTTAAAGTATAAGGATGAGAAATGCTTTCCAAATGATAATAATGCCATTTATGTAGCATTTTCCCACATAAGTGAATTTTTTTAATACCTGAAGTATTAACTTTTTAAGCATCAAAACATTTTGTATGAACTTTTATGTATAGAAACCTTTAAAAAGATTTTCTATTAAACAATATAGGCAACAATTTAAATAGTGTAGATAACGTAATTTAATCCTGATCAGTTACATTCTCTTGCACTGAATTCAGTTGTTACCTATGGCAGTGGATCTCAACATTTTTGGCCAACTTAAGTAGAGTGGAAGTTTGCACTGCCCATCCAGCACACATCTTTCTACTTTCTACGAAAAAGAAAATTTAGTGATAATAGTGAAGTGTCATTACTGTACAAGCAAATGGTGGTAGTGGAGGGACGGTATAGTATGGATATGTACTTTTGCAATAGGGATAAGAATGATTGATATTTGACCCCAGCGTATATATAAAGTTTAAATTGGAGGCCAAAACATGTGTTGTTACTAACAAGTAACTCACCATGAGCTATATTGTTTGTTTTGATAAACTACTAATTACCAGCAAGAAGGGCAGTTGAAAACCATTCCAGTTTCAGGCAACACTGATGATCATGCATTGATGAAGTGTTTCTTCCTCCATGAAATTGTAGGAATTCAAATGTGTGTGTGCTCAGTGGTAGTATTGCTGTGTTGTTATGAATGGCAGCTATATTTACAATACTAAATACTGAATTGGAGTCCGCATGAGCTCTGATAGCATGCTATGAATACCAAAATGTAGTTCTTAGTACCTTAATTGGTAGATGACAAGTATCCCTTACATAAAAATGAGAGTCAGTAGCATTGCATATTCTTTACTTCTTGAGAAATGAGGAAAAGACTTGAGTTTTTGGATTGGTTTCTTGCACATCAGGAGGACCTTTGCATGTTACAAGAGTATACTTCTGTAATCACTAACTCAGGAGCACCTAACAGAAATGAGGAAAGGACTTGGGTTTTTGGATTGGTTTCTTGCACATCAGGAGGACCTTTGCATGTTATAAGAGTATACTTCTGTAATCACTAACTTAGGAGCACCTAACACGTATGGGTTTATATTTCTGAGCTATGCCTCCATTTTAGTTGCTGCTGCTTTTTTTAAAATTGAAGTATAGTTGACCTACAATGTTATATTAGTTTCAGGTATACAACCTAGCGTTTGGATGATTCTATACATTGTGCAGTGCTCACCATGATAAGTGTAGTACCATACAACGTTATTACAATATTATTGATCATATTCCCTCCACAGTACTTTTCATCCCAGAGACTTATTTTTTAGTAACTGGGACTTGGTACTTGATCCCCTTCACCTATTTCACCGCCTCTCGTCTCCCCTCCGGCAACCACCAGTTTATGAGTCAGTTTCTTAGTTGCTTCTCAGTTCTTAACGACTCTCTCTTCTTGCTCTTGTGAATGTGCCCTATGCCTGCTTTTAGTATCAGTTTCTCCATACTCCCCCATTCCTGTCTGTTCCATTCACTTTAGCTTTATTTTTCTTGTTACTTCCAATCTGTTATGGATGGGAAAACTGGATAAATCAAAGTTGTTTAGAACTACTCTAAAATTAGAAAGTTGATTCTTTATAAGGATTCTTAGTATGAGACATAGATTTGTGTGTGTGTTGTGACAACGGTTTCAGATATTCAGGCATTATTCTGGGTTCTTGATGTTTCAAATAATGCAGGATGCTGAATAAATGACACCTTTGAATAGGTGAGATATTAATGAAATTAGGAGTTTCGTTTCCTAAATTAGAATTAGGGGAATAAAATACCAGAAAGCACGTTACAGTAAAAGGAGTAGGAGTAAAAAGGAGATAGCTTTTCAGTGGAACTAGAGATGTTCTTTTTGTTATGTCTTTATAGAGATAGTTTTCAAGATTTCACTGTATATTTTATTGTATTATCCTCCAAAAGATGTTGGCAGAAGGTTTTTTAAAAAAAAATTTAAGATACAATTTGTACACAGCGACCCAAAGTTTTACGCTGATTCTCCCCATCCCTGCTATCTGTGGCCTGACCTTATATCCTTTTTTGTTAAACAGTATTTTTTAAACTTAAAGCCTGATGTATATGCAGGGATGTGCAGGTCAATGTATCTTAGATCTGGTACACAGAAATACAGATTTTATTAATCCCCACAGGTTATATTTGAATATTAACACATTTATTTGAGTTTTCCTTGGACATACATCAAACTAGCTAATATTAATAGTTTACTTTTAATGTGGTGAAGAATATCTGCTAAAGTTGTGTTTTGTTTTGTTTATCATTTTTATAGGATCCCATGGTCCATTATTGCCTTTACCGAGTCGTTACAGAATGGGCTCTCGAGATACGCCTGAGCTTGTTGCATATCCATTACCACAGGCTTCTTCCTCTTACATGCATGGAGGAAATCCCTCTGGTTCAGTTGTAATGGTTAGTGGATTACATCAGCTAAAAATGAATTGTTCAAGAGTGTTCAACTTATTCTGCTTATATGGAAATATTGAAAAGGTAAGTTTCGTTTTATATTAATTTCTTTTGCTAGGATATCTAGTAGGAAAGTTTGAAAAGGCAGCAAATACATGTGTCTTCCCCTTGTATTAGGAACATACAAGTTCTTTTAGTAGTAACCCACATAAGCTAAAAATTCATTAGGTAGAAGCTTCAGAAATTGTTTTTTGTTGGTAAGTGATCAGTATAGGTTGTTGGTACTAAAAATACTTTAAAAATAGCTAATATAAATAGAAGTCCAAAACAGTAGTTTAATCAATTACTAGCCTGCATTTTTTTATCATTGCAAAGTGTTTCTAGCACTTAACATGTCGAACTATAGAATTTGAAAGAGCAGTACTTTCATGGAGCTTGGCCACAAGTCATGGAATTTTAGGAGAGTTCTAGATTTAATTACTTGCTTCCCAAATGCTAGATTTCCAGTATCTTCTGAGGAACAATGTGCTTTTAGCTCTATCAGTATTTGAAACTGACAAAATGTATTCAAAACTTTATCTGGAGGCTTACACTCAGAAAGTAGCAAAATATTTAAATTTTACATATTTTAAAGATCTTTAAAGTTATAATCCTATTTTCGTTAGACAACCATTTCCCCAGATCTGTGCTGTTTTGTTCATTGATATCTCATAAATATTTAAAATAGTATCATAAAGTAGATACTTAAACTATTTTCTAAAGAATCATGGAAATTTAACTGGGGAAATGATTGGTCATCTTAAGTTACCAATTGTTTGATACACTTGCCAACTTGAGTTTCAGTACTGAGATAATGTTTTTTTCTCTATTGTTTTAAGTGATTTTAGTGTTCTTTTCACAACAATTAAAAGGTACAAGCATGTGAGTCATAAATGTGTGGGAGCGGGAGCATGGCTTCAAAAGTCGGTACTCTTAGTTCTTAGTTCATTAATTCTAAAGTAAAGGCTCCTTGAACTGAGAAAGCAACTCAAAATCTCTGGAACAAGAATTTTCTCAACATAACCATTTGACCACATTTAGAAAAGAAAAGAAAGAAAATCCCACATTGGTCTAGGGATAACATATGGGGTGTTTCTGCTTATATAACTTGCCAGGAATACGTGGACAGATTTAGCAACACTGGGAGAAGTAGTTCAGATTTTTTCACACAGACATTTATCTTAGACACCTAGGTGTTAAGGTTTAGGAACTGCATGTTTGATAACTAAATGGGCTTTAATGTGTATTTTAACCTTATCACATAATGTTACTTTTCTCTTTGTGCTTTTCACATTTGTAAACAATCAGATCAGTCAGTTAAATCAACATCTTTAGTATATCTTTGTCTTTTCTGTTATGAACTAATTGTCTCATGATTTAGAAACCTAAGTCATTTTGTCTAATAAACTTAAAAGCTTTCTGTGTGCTATTTGAACAATTCCAGTCTCACATGTCAAAAAAAATATTTTAAATGATCTATTATGATACATGAAACTTAGGCTATGCTAGTCCTTTAAAAGACCTATATATAGGTAATTATGCCTCACCTTTTTTTTAGATTTATAAGTACAAGAGCTACATATTTAACATATTTATTTAGTCGTTGTTAGATTTGTAGGATGTTATTGGATTAAATCAAGGTATAGAAATTTTGCCCACAAGAAGATAATTGATTTCAAGTAAAGCTGAAAAGTCCTGCTACAACTGAGTTTTGTTCAAGTACAGGTATAGTATAAAAATGCTGGAAGAGCCCGTTAAAATCGGTAGTTGCAAGGGTGGATATAAATGCTATGCTGCATTTGTTATGTAAATCCATTCGTAGTATTTTAAGGCTAACAAATATCTCAAGGTGTCACGAATGTTAGTGGTACAGAATAGCTATTGAAGGACTTTCTAAGGGGTAGGTACTATGCTGAATGATTATCATACATTAACCCATTTAACCCTTATTACTATAGTGTTATCTACTAAAATTAGAATAATATAAGAGGCTAAGTATGGCCTCTGCCCAAGATGCCATGAAAAATTGTGAAGTATGCCTGTTTTTAAAACTGCCCCTACCTTGTACAAGCCTTCCTACTGGCAGTGCTGTCTCAAAGCCGTCATGCATTATTTCTTACAGCATCTTGTTTATTGCTTTAACAGCATTCTGAGTAGTTGGGAATTATTTTTTACTTTTAAATTTTTTGACCTACCTACCAGAATTTAAGTTTCAAGAAGACTGTATCTGTTATGTTTACCATTAATACCCAGTACCCAGCACAGTGTTTATCAAAACATTTAGGCACCTAATAAATATTTGTTGAATGAATAAATATTGATGAACCCTACCAGGTATTATCATTGTCTCTGTTTTATAGGGAGATCTGTGGCTCAGAGAAGAAAATCACCCCAAATCACACAATAAGTAGCAGAGCCAGGGTAAGCCTGTGCTCTTCTTCATTGTGCTACACAATAGAATTATAGTCTTCCTTTTGAACTTTGTTGAATTTTGGTAAGACTTATGAGTGTCTAATAGCACAGCAGAGTAAAGTCAAGATTCCAGGTGATCTTCCGTATTTGACCTCAACCACTTAAATCATACTCTCTTTCAGAAAATCCGTTATTATAGAAGGGAAATAAATAGTCACCTTTTTGGGATTTTGTATTTACAGGTAAAATTTATGAAGACCATTCCTGGTACAGCACTGGTAGAAATGGGTGATGAGTATGCTGTAGAAAGAGCTGTCACACACCTTAACAATGTCAAATTATTTGGGAAAAGACTTAATGTTTGGTAATTATCTTAAAAGTGGTAAATTTTAAAAGTATTAAAAAATCTTCATTTTTATTAGAGATATTTCAATTTCAGAATATTTTAATGTGACTGAGAGCACATTTGAAACTAGCACCTATAATGTTATCATTTTAGACAAAGTATGTTAGGTTCATATAATTCAGGTTTTGCTCACCTATACCTAGTTTTTAGTGTTATGATTATAAAACAGCATGTTAAAAATGGGCAAGTTTTATATAAAGTTTCCTAATGTGAGAATATACCTAAACTATAAGAGTGATGGTTTATAAATTAAACTAAATTTAAGTATTCAAATAAATGTTTAAAATATTAAATAACTAAATCACATTTAAATAGCTACATTTGTCTTATTTGTTAAAATTGATGCAGGCATAGATATTAACCTTTTGACACTGCCTACTTGTTGCTTTACATCTAACAAGGTATCTTCTATACCTTTTTCCTTCCCAATCTTTAGTGTGTCTAAACAGCATTCAGTTGTTCCAAGTCAAATATTTGAGCTGGAGGATGGTACAAGTAGCTACAAAGATTTTGCAATGAGCAAAAATAATCGCTTTACAAGTGCTGGTCAAGCATCTAAGAATATAATCCAGCCACCCTCATGTGTGCTGCATTATTATAATGTTCCATTGTGTGTCACAGAGGAGACTTTCACAAAGGTAGGTGGCTGAAATACAACTGTGTAGAATGTTCCTATTTCTTATTTTAAAATTTATAATATTTTAGCCTCATTTTAAAGTCTTGCTCTGGTTCATCATCTGCTTTTGATATTATATTAGTATTTTGTTATTTAGTTCACTCTTTGTACTTTTCTGGCCTCCATTCTGCATTAGCCTTTTTAGTCTTTTGTTGATTTGTGGCTCAGTCTTTTTGAGAGTTGGAATTAGAATGAGATACCTGACTTCCTTATTCAGTGAGTTCTTTTATTATGCCCTTAAATCTTGCCCGTAACAGGGGGCACCTGGGTGGCTCAGTTGGTTAAGCATCTACCATCGGCTCAGGTCATGATCTCAGGGTCCTGGGATCGAGTTCCGCATTGGGCTCCCTGCTGAGCAGGGAGCCTGCTTCTCCCTCTCCCTTTGCCTGTCCCTCCCACTCGTGCTCATGTGCACTCTCTCTCTCTCTCGTAAAAATAAATAAATAAAATCTTAAAAAAAAAAAAAATCTTGCCCATAACAAAATTTTATATATCCCTGCCTTTTTGCCAAACTGTAGGAAATGCTTCAGAAAAGAATTGATTTTCTGGGAAAATTTCTGGGAACTCCACTCTGTCCCTTAGGTACTAGATAAATCCTAACAACTCTGAGAATACATATTTCAGTTATAAATCTGTGGTTTTATCGTACAGCACTAAATTATTTACATAGTTTATAGAATATCACTTTTTAAAGTTTATTTTCTCATAGAACTTTCCAATCTAAAAATATGTTTGGGGGCGCCTGGGTGGCTCAGTCGTTAAGCGTCTGCCTTCGGCTCAGGTCATGATCCCAGGGTCCTGGGATCGAGTCCTGCATTGGGCTCCCTGCTCAGCGGGAAGCCTGCTTCTCCCTCTCCCACTCCCCCTGCTTGTGTTCCCTCTCTCCCTGTCTCTCTCTCTCTATCGAAAAAAATAATAATAAATAAAAACATGTTTGATTTAATTCATTCATGCCAGACTTAAATGCTGCCATAAAGTTTATTTTTCTTTCTTCTAGAGAGAGAGAGTGAGAGCATGATGAGCACATGAGTGCACGCAGGGGGGTGGGGAGGGGCAGAGGGAGAGGCACAGAGAGAATCTTAAGCTGGTTTCACGCTGGGGCCCAATGCTCACGACCCTGAGATCATGACCTAAGCTGAAATCAAGAGTCCCGGACGCTTAACCGACTGAGCCACACAGGTGCCCCCATAAAGTTTACTTTCTAAAAGAGGCAGGAATATTATTTTGGCCATATTTTTAATGGAGTTTCACATTTCTTTGACAGTTATGTAACGACCATGAAGTTCTTACATTCATCAAATATAAAGTGTTTGATGCAAAACGTAAGTGCACATTCCCTCTTTTTAAGTTTTCTGGTTAAACTGATGACAAGCATGTAACAACTGGATTTGTGTTTCTTTGTTTTGTTTTAGCTTCTGCCAAAACACTTTCTGGGCTATTAGAATGGGAGTGCAAAACTGATGCAGTAGAAGCCCTTACGGCACTTAATCACTACCAGATAAGAGTTCCAAGTAAGTAAAATTGTGTCATAATTATTCAGTAGGAGTTACTTTAGAAACATTGACAATAATTTTAAAATAGCACTTACTGCTTTTGTTGTTTTTTTTTTAATAGAGAAGTATGAAGAAAAAAGTCCTACAAATCCCACAACCCACACAATCCTTATATTAGTTACCTATTGCTATGTAACAGATTACCACATTTAGCAGCTTAAAACAGCAAACTAAGGGTCAGTATTCTGTGTACAGTTTAGCTGTGTGTTTCTAGCTTAGGGTCTCTTGAGGTTACGGTCAAGCTGTTGTCTGGGTCTACAGTCATTTCAAGTCATGATTGGAGATTGGGAAATCCATTTCCAAGCTCATTTATGTGGTTGTTTGCAAGTCCAGTGAAGCTACATTGGCCATTTCATCATGGTGGCTGGCTTCCTTCAGAGTGAGTGATCCAAGAGGGATGAGAGCAAAAGACTAAAACAGAAGCCACGGTGTCTCTTATAACCTAACATTGGAAGTGACATACTATCATTTATGCTATATTCTTGTCGTCCCACAGACCACCCGTGGTACAGTGTGGGAGGGGACTGTACCGAGCTGTGAATACCAGGAGGGTAGGGATCCCTGGGGCCATCTTGGATGCTGGCTTCCACAGTCTCTGTTGATCTTTTTAGAGGAAAGCAATACATACATTTATGTGGTTAAAAAACTTAAGACAGCACATGAGGTACAAAATGAAAGTTAAAGCTTTCTGCAACTTCTAACCTATTTGTCTCCTTTTATTCCTCCTCCTCAGTGTATGTATATCTACATTTTTAAAAGTTATACAAAATGGTTATTCTATACAACTCTTCAGTGCCTTGCTGTTTTCATTTAATATGCCTTGGAACTATATATCAGCACTTGCAAAGCTACTTTTTTTTTTTTTAAAGCATATGCAGAGTAGCTATTCATAGTAGAGATATACCACAGTTTGATTTACCGATTTCCCCACTGATGAACAGTTTTTTTCCAGTTGTTTTTTCTATTACTATAATACAACATCCTTATCATTGCACTTTTTGTATTTGTAGGGCAATTTCCTAGTAGTGGAGAACATAAAGGTTTATATTCTGATAAATGTTGCTAGATTGCCCTTTAAAAAGGTTGCACCAATTTACATTTCTACCTGTGGTATGTGAGAATGCCTGTTTCCCAACACTGAGTCTTGTCAGATGTTGAATCTTTAACCAGTATGATAGATGAAAAATGGTATTCCATTGTTTTAATTTGTATTAAATGAAATTGTCACTGTTTATTCTCTCCAGAATGGTAAATGACCTCTTTTTCTACCACACAAAGTATGCTCAAGTATTTAACTTTTGAAGCTTTGTGCTGTGTACTTTATTTTGATCCTGGATCTAAAGGGTGATAAACCCTTATTTTTCTAAATAGTGGAAGAAAAAAATAATTTTATTAGATGTGATGTGGAAAAAGAAAAATACACACTGATGGATTTATGGGTAGAATAAACGTATCTAGGATTTAGTTTAAAATATTCCAGCTCCCGGGCGCCTGGGTGGCTCAGATGGTTAAGCGTCTGCCTTCAGCTCAGGTCAGGATCGAGTCCTGCATGGGGCTCCCTGCTCAGCAGGGAGTCTGCTTCTCCCTCTCCCTCTGCCTCTCCCCCTGCTTGTTCTCTCTCTGTCTCTCCTGCAAATGAATAAATAAAAATCTTCAAAAAAAAAAAAATATTCCAGCTCCCAAAATGGTGTGTTGGGTAGGTAGATGAAGTAATACTGCCAAATGCTGACAATTATTGAAGCTAGGTGGTTTATCATATCAATCTATATATTTTTTTATATTTAAAAATTTTAATTAAAAGACAAAAAATAAATAGGAATACTTCCTTTCATTTAACTTTTAGTCACAGAAGTAAATTTTAAGTAGTAAATCAAGCCTAATATTTGTTAGAAGGTTTTTAAAGGCTTTAAAATTATATGCATATTTGAGACATACCCAAGATGTATTTTAAACTCCTTGGAGGCAGGAACAATTATTTATCTTTTTATCCTCTCCAGTGCATGCAAATACTTGTTAATTTATATGCTTTTCCCTTTACAGGAATTAAAATTTTTTTTAATATGTTAAGATACCAGAATTGTTTCTTTGCATAATTAATTGAGGGGGAATTATCTCTGCCTGGTCTGAGAAGTTAAAGAAAAATATATAAAATGGAAAACTTTTTGTGGATTATTCTCTTGTTGTTTGTTGTTGTTGTTGTTGTTTTGAGTAATTTTAGAACTTAATACTAGCTCTCCTGGAACTTTTTCAGCTTATTAATATCTTCCTGTACGTTCCATTCTTACCCATTTCCCAGCCTGTATTTGAATTGGCTTTTTTTTTTTTAATTTAAATTCAGGGCGCCTGGGTGGCTCAGTTGGTTGGGCGACTGCCTTCGGCTCAGGTCATGATCCTGGAGTCCCGGGATCGAGTCCCACATCGGGCTCCCTGCTCAGCGGGGAGTCTCCTTCTCCCTCCGACCCTCCCCCCTCTCATGTGCTCTCTCTCTCAAATAAATAAAATCTTAAAAAAATAAAAATAAAAAAAATAAATTCAATTAGCCAACATATAGAACATCATTAGTTTCAGATGTAGAGTTCAGTAATTCATCAGTTGCGTATAATACCCAGTGCTCATCACATCACCCTATTACCCCATCCCCTCTACCCACCTCCCCTCCAGCAACCCTCAGTTTGTTTCTTAGAGTTAAGAGTCTCTCAGGGTTTGTCTCCCTCTCTGATTACTTCCCATTCAGTTTGAACTGGCTTTTATAGAGGAATTGCCGTTCTAATATATTCTGCAAAGTGAACTTTGCTGATGGACATAAGCCTAATCCCATACTGTTTGTCTGTAATGATTAATTAATTTACTAAGAAATATTGAGTGTCTCTATGTGTCAGATAAGGTTTAGAGCAGTAGGAATGTAGCAGTGGACAAAGTTCCTACCTTCTTGTAGCTTACCTGCTGGTAGAGATGTACAAAAGTAATCTTCCCCTTACCTTATGTAGAAATTTTCCTTCTTTATGTTTCTGCTTCTGATTTTATAAAAATGTGAAATAATTTACTCTGCTAATTCAAGGTAATCTTGAAAGTTTGATGAAGTGACCTGTTAACTTTGTTTTTTAATTTTTGCAGATGGTTCCAATCCCTACACATTGAAGCTTTGCTTTTCTACATCATCCCATTTATAAGAAGAGAAGAGCATGTTAGAATTTATGTTCACCTTTATTACAATTTTAAAGCTACACTTCATTAAAAAAAAACTAAGATGGTTGATCTAATGTTGCCTTGCTTACTTTGATTTAAGATCCTGTTCTGTAATAAACAAATATTTTGCCTTGAGTAAACTTGTTGTAAAGTTAAATATTGAATTGTTTTCATTTTAAAATAGAATGTCATAATGTAGACTATCTACAGCTTCCTTGTAGATTATGCAAATATATGATTTCTAATCTTATTTTCTTCCACAGTGAAAATATATTTGCATTCTTAATGCTAATTATCTGCAAGTATTTTTCCATTGTGTATGAGATTAATGCAGGTGAAAGTATTGCATTTTAATATTATAGAATTCCTATTATATGTTTAGATGTTTAAGTATGTTGCAGTTATTCATATTAAACATAACTTGTATTTATTAAGTATTTTAATCAAGTTTGAGAATAACATTGCACACAATGAATTTTAAGTACTAAAGATTTAGCTGATTTTATATTTCTGAAAGGCTAACAGACATGGATACACTTGTACAGTATGCACTCAAACTTATTTAAATTGGTGTAATTTTTTTTTTTTTTAAGTCATTGTCCATTTGTATTGCCATGCCTCTGTTTCTAGTTCCAGTTTGGAGATTTTATAAAGTTACAACAATGAGTTAATGTGTTCATCTTCATTTGTTGCATGTGACTTGATCTTGAAAACACATCTGGTATTTGGCATTAAGATTTTAATAGAAGTTATGATTAATAATTCCTAACCTGAGATCCATGAATGGGCTTTAGGGAGTCCCAGAACCCCTTAAAATTGTATGTAGAATTTTGGGTACTTGCATTTTTATTTTTTACTCTTGAATCCATCAGTAATATATGTATTTTTCTATATGGTGCAAGGTGTAAGGATCTAATTTTATTTTTATTCCAAACAGATAGCTATTTGTTTCAACACCATTTATTAAACATTCTTTCTCCCACTGGATCTGTTTTTTTTCCTTTTTTGGGAAAGAATATATCGTAAGGAAGGTGTAAGTAGGGTGTAAAACATGGTATTAAGAGACTATATATAGGGGTGCCTGGGTGGCGCAGTCGTGAAGTGTCTGACTTTGGCTCAGGTCATGATCCCAGGGTCCTGGGATCGAGCCCCACATCGGGCTCCCTGCTCAGCGGGCTCCCTGCTCAGCGGGAAGCCTGCTTCTCTCTCTCCCACTCCCCCTGCTTGTGTTCCCTCTCTTGCTGTGTCTCTCTCTGTCAAATGAATAAATAAAATCTTAAAAAAAGAGACTATATGTAGCACACTTGAGTGCTAATATTTGTTAGAAGGTTTTTAAAGGCTTTAAAATTATATGCATATTTGAGACATACCCATACCTACCTGTGCTCTCTCTCTGTCAAATAAATAAATCTTTAAAAAATAAAAATAAATAAAAAATAAACCAAATCTAAATTAAATAAGCCCTGTCATCATCAAGTTTTTGTTTCTAAAATACAAAATAATCTATAACCATCACCATTACTTTTCAGAAGAGGGGAAGAGGAGACGACAATTATTACATAAACTCAGAAGTTATCTTTTAAAATTAAGACATCTTAAGTTTGCAACAAATGTAGAAAAGTATTTATAGGGGAAGGGGAAAAAAAGCTTTGTTTATTGTAGAGTTAGGTAAACTTAGGTTTTAAATTGGCAATGAATGAATGAGGAATGTACATACACAACACAGTACCATACACTTAGAGTTCGTACACAAAGTTACTCTCGGCAAAACATACTGTATTCCATCGTAAGAGTCTAAAACGTCTCTAGACTGAATTTAAGTTTTTCTAGGTCTTTAGAAGGCTAAAGGGACACTGTCTGCAGCTATTAAAATTCAAGGGGAAATAAATGTTAATGTGTTTAGTTTCCATCTTAACTTTCTATTCAATAGCTCTAAACTTTTTAAACCCGTCTCATTTCTAAAAGGATTAAGGCAAACTCTTGTAAGTTAAAATTCAAAATAAAACTTTTACAAAAGATCTAAATGGAACTTCTACTTGCAAATTTATTTAAAAGTCTCAAGATCACAAAACTGCTATTGCCAACTATTCAGTTAATCTGGGTAGATGAAACATTTTCCCTCTTATTAAAGATAAATATAAAATGGCTGTATCACATTTTTATTATAAAAAAGCTATGAATTTGGGGCACCTGGGTGGCTCAGTTGGTTAAGCTTTGTCTGCTTAACTCAGGTCATGATCCCAGGGTCCTGGGATTGAGCCCCGCATCAGGCTTCCTGCTCAGTGGGGAGTCTGCTTCTCTCCCTGCTTATGCGCTATGTCAAATTAATTAATCTTAAAAAATGAATTTGATAACAAGTGTGCTATAGTCTTTCTTTTTTTTTCAGATTTTATTTTTTACAAGAGAGAAAGCAAGCACAAGCAAGGGGAGTGGCAGGCAGAGGGAGAGAGAGGGGCAGACTCCCCGCTGAGCAGGGAGCCCAATGCGGGGCTTGATCCCAGGACTCCGGGATCATGACCTGAGCCGAAGGCAGACGCCTAACCGACTGAGCCACCCAGGCGCCCCTTTAGGTTTGGTTTAAGTGGTATTGACTATTTTTTATTTATTTTTTAAAAAGATTTATTTGTTTTAGAAAGAAAGCATGGAGGGGAAGAGGGAGAGGGAAAGAGTCATAAGCAGACTCCGCACTGAGCACGGAGCTGACAGGGGACTAGATCTCAGGACCCTGAGGTCATGACCTGAGCCGAAACCAAGAACTGGTAGCTCAACCGACTGTGCCACCCAGGCACGCCTAAGTGGTATTGACTTTTAGATATGAACTCTGTCTTTTTTTTTTTTTATTTTATTTGAGAGAGCGAGAATGAGAGATAGCATGAGAGGGAAGAGGGTCAGAGGGAGAAGCAGACTCCCCGCTGAGCAAGGAGCCCGACGTGGGACTCGATCCCGGGACTCCAGGATCATGACCTGAGCCGAAGGCAGTCGCTTAACCAACTGAGCCACCCAGGCGCCGAAGAACTCTGTCTTAATTCTCTTTCCCCAACAAAATGATGAGTAAATTCTTCAGGTGTAAAGTATGTTTTGGTTTTTTTGAATATTAGCGCGCAAGCAGGGGGAGCAGCAGGCCGAGGGAGAAGCTGACTCCCCGCCGAGCAGGGAGCCCGATGTGGAGCTTGATCCCTGGACCCTGGGATCATGACCTGAGCTGAAGGCTTGACCATCCGAGCCACCCAGGCGCCCCTAAAGTGTGTTTAAGTTGTTCCTTACTGATCTGTGCACTGGTATGTCAGCCCTATACTTTGCTATCAGTAATGTCTTCGACATTTTACTTGGGCATCCCTGCTGCTAATATCTGATATTATCCAATCCTAGAATGGAATTGGCTTTGGCAACGTTCCCTCTTTCTTTAGCCTTAACAACACTTCTTGTGCTATCTTTCTGCTTTTAGGAGAACATGAAAGAACAGATTCTATAGCAGTAAAGAAATAATACTAGCTTTTATTTTTTAAATATTAGAATCCTATTCTATATCTAAATTCCATTAAATATTTGATAATACCTCTGTATAACTGAGTTAAGGAATATAAGCTGCCTATTAAAGTCCCACTTCCCTGCTGAGGGTATTACCCCAAATAAACAAAAGAAAACTGCCATTGTAGCTGACAGGAGACTTACCAGCATCCTAGTGATTTGGTTATCCAGACTATATTTTCTAGGACTGAACTGAGAGAAGAGAATAAAAAATGACCAAATAGGGTCAATTATGTTTCATTTTTTAAAAATCACTATTTGTAGGGATAGGTCGCTAAGTAACTGCTTTTTAGTATTTATCAGTGTTACTGTATTCCTCTCTAGAGCAAAGCAATTTTGACTGTAGAGCATTCTTCCATAATTAAGAATCAAAAGTACAAGGAGTTTGCTTCACTTAAAAAGTTCTTCAGGTGGCAAAGGTCCTTGTAAGAAAGATAACTGCAATAAACCTTCCTGCTTCCATATGGCCATTTGGCTCAAAAGAATTTAGTCCATTAAGGGGCCATGTAAAGTAGCAAGCCTTTTTGGGGTCCCAGGGTGGCTCACTAAGCGTCTGCCTTCAGCTTAGGTCATGATCCCAGGGTTCTGGGATGGAGCCCTGAGTCCAGCTCCCTCTCAGTGGGGAGTCTGCTTCTCCCTCTCCCTCTGTCTCCCTCCCCCACTCATGCTTGCTCACTTTCTCTCAAATAAGTAAAATCTTTTTTTAAAAAAGTAGGGCGCCTGGGTGGCTCAGATGGTTGGGCGACTGCCTTCGGCTCGGGTCATGATCCTGGAGTCCCGGGATCGAGGCCCACATCGGGCTCCCTGCTCAGTGGGGAGTCGGCTTCTCCCTCTGACCCTTCCCCCTCTCATGCTCTCTATCTCTCATTCTCTCTCTCTCAAATAAATAAATAAATAAAATCTTTAAAAAAAAAAAGTAGCAAGCCTTTTTATCATAGTACCACTTGTTTGCTCATAGAGTTAAATCACAAAAAACAATTGATTTAGAGGAAACAAAAAACTAAGGTTCATAGGTTCTGTCCCTCAGCATGTTTTATTCCTTCTAAATTATTTCTACTATGATGATATCCAATGTCAACTAAAAAATAAGTGGTGCAAACATGATTCCTGTTTAAAGCCAAGAAAACCATTGGGAATTTGAAATCTAGTGGATATTTAATCTGTAATGTCATTGCTTTTTTCCTAAAAACAAAAAAAACCCCAAAAAACAAAGCCTAGCATTTTTACCAAACGGATTCAAGTGCTAATTCAAAACTGATACATTTTTCTTTAGTTCATTCAGCTAATCACCTTTCTAGCCATCTCAATTTTAATTTTAACATGCTTTGAACTTGAACAAATACAAAAGACTTCGCTTTACTAGTAGAAATTTCTTGAATATGAAGCCCTTTATCTGAGGAAGCACTTGAAAATCTCTTCGTGTTTTGTTTGTTTTTAAGTTTTTATTTTAATCACCCGGTGCTCTTCATGACAAGTGCACTCCTTAGTCCCCATCACCTATTTAACCCCATCCCCCACCCACTTCCCCTCTGGTAAACCATCAGTTTGTTCTCTCACTTTTTTTTTCCCCTTTGCTCATTTATTTTGTTTCTTAAATTCCACATATGAGTGAAATCATGTGGTATTTGT